ATGGTAAATCATATTATAATTTAGTGTTTATTATCAAAAAATAGTGATAAACCTATAAGAAATGAATGAAATAATTATTACGTACCTAAACAAACGCTGGTGTTCCAACCGGCGGCAATGTTCCGATGACGTCAAAAGGCTCCGTTCATTCCGCCTCGGAGTATTTACTATTGTGTACATGAATTATTACACGCACAAGCGTATGTACGCGAATGCACACGACTATTAAATAAGTAGAGTTGCGCATGCGCAATGATCATCCGAGGCTAGACTAACATTGCCTTATGAAGTCAGACGTATGTAGGTACTAAAAATAGACGAGGTATACAGGAATTATGGTCAGCCGGCATTTCAACGTAAAAACACATTATCAGTAAAGTTAATATTGTTACAGTCGAGACACGTTAGGCGTAGGGAAAGTAGCGCGCCCATCGCCAATGTACCTTAGTACATTGCAATAGCTCTACCCTGACCTTAATTGGTTGGGGTAGTCTGGTCCTCCAGGTTGGGGGTTGATCGTATGGTTAACAACCCTACATCAGAAAAAAAATATGTTAAGAAACCACAAAATAAGCCTCGGAATTGGATTAATGGACAACGACCGGAACTGGAAAATGGAATAAAAATTGGTACATGGAATGTTAGAACCTTAAACAAACCTGGAGCGTTACAGTACTTACTGGACGCTATTAAAAAATATAATACGAACATATTCGCTCTGCAAGAAATTAGATGGAAAAATGACGGAAATATGAAAAAAGATGATAAAACCATATTCTATAGCGGAAGAAAGGATGGAAGACATGAAAATGGTGTGGGTTTTGTAGTGAGCGATGATACGCTACCACAAGTAAAATAATTCACGGCAGTAAATGACCAAATATGCTATATCCGACTCACAGGTCACATTTTTGATAGCATTATCGTAAACGCTTATGCACCAACCGAAGAGAAAGAAGAAAATATTAAGAATGAGTTTTACGATGAACTAGGGCACATACTTGACACAACACCAAATAGCTGTATAAAAATATTAATAGGTGACTTTAACGCAAAAATAGGAAAAGAAGATATATATAGACCAACGATTGGACCGAATAGCTTACATGACGTAAGTAACGATAATGGAACCAGATTGATCAACCTATGTATAACGAACGGTTTTACCCTTAGTAGTACATACTTTCCAAGAAAAGATATATATAAACAGATCCGATGGAAAAAACGGCAGTTATGGTAAAGGTAAAAAGCAATTTACTAATAAAAGTAATGTTAAATGTTATTACTGTGGTAAAATTGGTCATTATAAAAGAGACTGTAAGAATTTCCTAAGTAGTATGAAAGGTGGGAAAATCAATACTACAGGTACAAGTTTAAATGCATTTGTAAGCGAGTCAAGGATAAATTAAACTATAACAGATACGTGGGTTTTAGACTCAGGTGCGTCGGATCATATGAGCGCGAGCCTAGAATGGTTTACAAGTTATGAACCATTGAAATATACACAACAGGTAACAATAGGTGACGGAACAAATCTGTATGCAACAGGAAAAGGTAATATTAATATATTATCATACATGAACGGTAATTGGAATAAAAATTACTTGGCAAATGTATTGCACGGGCCGGGATTAAAATTTAATTTATTCTCGTGCGGGTCAGCGTTAGACAAAGGTATAGAGCTAACGTCAGACAATAAAACGTGTGTGTTCAAAAGAAACGGGATTCCTGTATGCATAGGCACAAGATGCGGTAGGTTGTTTGAATTACAGATCAAAGTCGAATCACTGTCGAAAGCTGAATGTTATGCGAACATTGCAGTAGAAAAACGATTAGAAGTATGGCACAAGCGTTTAGCTCACCAGAATATTCAATACGTGAGGAATTGTTTGGCAAAACATAATATTGATTATTCAGCCAAGGACGATCAATTTGCGACTGCATAATCGGGAAACAACACCGTCAATCGTTCAGTAAAAGTGAGACCGAATATTTTAACGTCGGCGATTTAATACATGCAGATTTATGTGGACCGATGCAGAGGAACTCTATCGGTATGTCAAAATATTTTTTACTATTTAGAGATGACTACTCACGTTACAGAACGGTATATTTTATTAAAAATAAATATGAAGTAAAAAATATTATGGAGACATTTATAAAAAGTGTTAAAACAGAAACAGGATCTAAAGTCAAAATATTATGGACAGATAATGTGTTAGAATTTGTAAACAAGGATATTACAGGTATTCTACAGAAATATGGCATACGACACCAAACTACGGTAGCATATACGCCAGAACAGAACGGGAAAGTCGAGCGTGATAACAGAACAATCGTAGAAGCTGCCAGGACAATGATATGTGCGAAAAATCTTGACGTGTCATTGTGGGCAGAAACTGTGAACACGGCGGTTTATACACTTAATCTAACCGGAACGAGTTCACAGATTGGTAAGTCACCTTCCGAGTTATATTATAAAGTCGTGCCAGATATTAAACATTTACGAGTTTTTGGTACTGCGGTATATACACAGTACACACATACCAAAGCAAAAACGTCAGAAATGGGATCCAAAAAGTGAAAAAGGAATATTTGTTGACTATTCGAAAGGTTATCGTATATGGTATTCGAAAACAAATAAAATATCCGTGTGCAGAGACATTATATTCGAAGACGAATGTAATAATTATGAAAATGTAATTGCAGACACATTAGAGTTTACAGACACTCAAATTAATTCAACGGGCGTGCGTGAGAAGGACGAAAACATAGTCGATGATAGAAATGTTATGGTTCTACGTGACAGGAATACACTTAAAAAACCGGACAGGTATAATGTTCAGACTTGAATATAATGACTATAATGCTAACTGTGTCAATCCATTGAATTATGATGAGGCAATTACTGGGTCAAACAAAAATGAATGGAATAATGCTATGAACGACGAAATTAATTCATTGCACGAAAATCAGACTTGGACTCTAGTCGATTTGCCCCAGGATAAAGTTGCATTACGTAACGCATGGCTGTTCAAAACCAAATATAAAACTGACGGTAGTATAGATAAATTTATGGCCAGATTGGTCATTAAGGGTTGTTCACAGAAATATGGTATTGATTACCATGAAACATTTTCGCCAGTGGTCAGATACGAATCAATTAGGGCGATATTCGCAGTAGCAGCTGTGGAAAAATTAATATTACGACAATTCGACATCAAGACAGCATTTCTGTACGGAGGACTACAGGAAGAAATTGACATGGTACAACCACCAGGATACGAAGATGGATCGAATAAAGTATGTAAGCTTCAGCGTAGTTTGTATGGCTTAAAACAAAGTCCAAGATGTTGGAATATACGCTTTAAGAACTTTTTGAATGCATTTGGTTTACAATGTACAGAATCGGATGCATGTGTATTCAAAGCTGATAACAGCCAAATTATTCTTGAAATATTTGTTGACGATGGTTTAATCGCGGCAGATAATGAAGATATAATAGAGAAACTATTAACAAACTTGGAGAAAGAGTTTGAGGTTAAAAAGGGAAACTTAAAATATTTTCTAGGTATGCAGGTAAACTTAATGAAAAATGGTTCATTATTTGTGCATCAGACAAATTATGCATGTAGCATAGTTAATAAATTTAATATGCTGGACGCCAAGGAACTTTCAAAAGCTCATAAAAAAATATTGTTACTTAACGCTAGACTTAATTGTTTTGTTATAAGTAGAACATTTTGTTGGGAACGTTTTATCAAAATTTCTTATCTTAGCTATGAAAATAAAAAAATTTATGAATTTCTAACTAAATAATAATTTACAACATTAATGCATTTTTTATGGCTATTAATGGCTGTAAAAGATTCAAAATTGTTTTAAAATATTATTATGCATGGAAAATAGTCATTTTAACATTTTGTAAAAATTTGAAGTATCTAGAATTATTGGTTTTTGAATTACAACAAAAAATAAAATATTTATTAATGAAAAACTACTTGGAATTTTCCACTTTGACCCCCAAAGTACCAACTAGGTTCACTTTACTATCAGAAAAGATATTGATCTCAAAAATCGAAGCATGCATACTATCAAAAATGTTGCTGACAGACAGGAAAAAAAACTCACATCATTGTAAAATCAATACATTCTTTCGCTCCGCTCAGAATCTAAAAAATAAGTGTAGGAAGTTAGAATTTTGACAAATAATTCAGATTTCTTTTAATATCTATAAGCACGCATAATGAACTTAATACAATTAAATATAATATATATTTATTATTTGAAAATATTTAACACTGTTTTTTAAAAAAGTTTAGTAGGATTACAAACAGATATACAGTAAAGTTAGCTTATTTTTTTCAGTTATTATAAATGCAGTAAAACTAGTACTTATTTTTGTCCGGGATCAATCAAGAATCTGAGAAACGGAACTGTAGTGATAATAAAATCACATGAGGGCCATGTTAGTGAGGAAAAAACTCTCAGCAACTGATTCATAATTTTTGTGAAATTTTGAAAACAAGGGCATCTACTGAGAATATCTCGTTAAGGAATTTATATGATGAGGAATCTAGAATGTAAGGAGTTTTATAACCTAAAGATTATCTTTTAGAGTCTTATCAAAAATTGATATCCGAATTTAATATTTTATTAGACACGTGGTAGCAGCAGGTTTGTACCCATGGTCAACAGCCGAATCTTTAATGCGACATGCCCGAAGAAGATCATTGCCTAGATTGCCTAACTCACTGTCAGATTTAAATTCTAAATAGGTTTTTTTGTTGCGACACTCCATTTTTTAGAGGATGTGTTAGAGATGTTGATGAAAGAAGTAGCATAATTTTGGATGTATGAATTTAATTGTTAATGTTCTGCAAAATGGTGTGACAGAGTTACATGTGGATGCCACTTTCAAGGTTGTACCTAGAAACATGGGATACTAATTACTAGTACTACTACTTACTACTAAGTCACGGAATTCATACAACAGTGTTATGCGATTTGTAAAAGATAATCTTTTACCAAACTTAACGGTTGAAGTCATTATAACTGACTATGAGGTGGCTCTGAGGGATGTTTTGATTTCATCATTTCCAGAAGCTCGTTACGCTGGCCGCTGGTTTCATCATAACCAAGTAAAAATAAATAATTAAACAAATACAATTAATGGTATTATATAGCATTCTTATTAATGATGTTGTATAATTTTGTAGGCTGTATGGAGAAAAATGAACAGTTTAGGATACTTACATCATCTTAATACTAACAATAATGCCCGTAAAGTATTGAAACTTCTTTTGTCCCTTCCATTATTGCCAGCTAGAGATATGGAGAACGGCTTTTTATTAATTAGAGCATTTGCACGAAATCATGATGTCCACTTGGAGAGATTGCTAAGTTATTATGAAAGGTATTTGACTTAAAACCTAGAACATTCTAATAACTGTTAATAAATACTGTTAGTTATTAACACTTAACAGTATTAAAATAAAAATTATATTGTATTTTAGCTATCAGGTATTAGAAATTTAAATATAAACATGGACCCCAATAACATAATTGACATTTTTCTTTTAAGTTATTGGTTAAGAAATATTGGTCCACAAGTTGTGTCGGTTCATGGACTGCCTCGTCGGACAAATAATAACATTGAGAGCTTCCATAACACCTTAAGATTAAAGTTCTCTGTTGCGCATCCAAGCTTATGGATATTTCTAGGTAAGAAATGTATGCGTAAGTACAATACAACAAAATTACATCAAGTTGTATTAGAACTTAAAGGTATAAATATATGGTAGACTCAAGGTTTTGGAATTATGGATCAAATTACTACATTAAAATTAAAATTAAAATTACTACATTAAAATGAATATATTTTTATGAGAGGTTGTATTTATTTATAATTATAAGCTTAAATTAAATCTTCTTAAATGAAAAAAAAATGTTTTCATAGTTACTTAATTACACTCGCTGTAAAACCTAATATAATGAGTCTCAAATTATAATCATAAAGGTACCTAGTTACTTAATAATTAATGCCAAAAATATAATACCTATTTTATTTTGTAATTTTTAAATAGGCACTTTAACTACTTTGAGTACCAGTTACCATTTGGTTAATCAACAAACTTTGAACCACTTGCGTCCCACTAAGCATGTGAGGACCGAGTTTTTGGCTAACTCTCACAGGATAAAATATGCTACAGAGCAATACCAATTAGGACAAATATCCATATGACAATTTCTTCTGCGTTGTTTGTATACTAGCGCAGCGTATGAATTAAGGCTACAAACCTGGGCTTTGAGAATGAACGATGCTGATGTTGATGCTAAATCAGACCACAATGTTCCAGCAGATGCAGTTCCAGTACCAGATCACATTCCCAATGTTATTGATCCACAGCCAGTGGAAAATAATAACTTGCAATTGGATCTGGATCAGCCGTTTAATGATGCACCAGGTTCACCGCCAATTATGAACCCTCCAGATTCGCCAAATGTACCTCAACTGCCAGACAACAGAAACTTGTGCATGACATGCTTGGTAGTGTCTCTAGCTGAAAGTGAACACTGCAGTGGCGGCTATCCTATGGTCCATGTGTTGCTTGAGCAACACATACAAATTGAGGGTGGGTGGGTTGGTGGGTACCCAGTTGGGTGGTTAATTAGATGCTGGGTTATTAATTCATTATAGTAGGTATATGAGTAATTGGTTTATAAAGTGGCGTACAATATTGTACAATCTACAGTATAGACGATTCTATGGCAAGCGTCTGCAGCCTGTTAAAAATGTCACAATTAGATCGCTTAAAATAAATCAGCAGCCTATAATATTATATATTCACATCGATAAAATACGTGCGCGGTCTATACTCTATAGCGTTCGGTCGCGTTTGAACGCGCTGGTTTAATTAATTTTGGACGTTTGATCGCGCGATAGCTCCAAAAATAAACCGATTATTTCCAATATTATTCATATTGGGCGTTTTACCAGCCGAAACATCGAGTTTATTTTAATATATTTTACAAGTTTATTCTTCATTTGTGTTTTTCATTTCATTGATTCACGTTGTGATTATCAAGTGTTTATAATTATAAGAAAGTAGAAATCAGTATTCGGTAGTCCGTACATACTAAATGTTCTTAAGTTACCGAATTATTATTTAATTTTTATCAAATAGTTTTTAATATTTAATAATGTTTAGTAACGAAGATTACGTTTGCATATGTGGTAAAAAAAAAAGTAGTCATAATCCTACAAATTGACGCGGCTACACTGGTAGGGCTGGTAGGCCGGTCGTTGTTGTGGGTGCGTGTTGATGCACTCGACACAAACGCACAACTTAATAGTTTATATAAAAGAAATCAATAAACGGAAACACGAACGTGGTGGTTGTGTAAATGCCGGGTGGCGTTTATTTAACGTGAACGATAAATAGTTATAATATAAAAAAAGGTATAATGCAGGTATTTTACAATATCAAGTACAAAAAAAAAACGGATACGATGAATCGCGTGGGTTAGGTACGAGATCAGACCGTGACGGTGGTTGAAGAACGAGAGGGAGCCGGCGGCCGGTACTCGTCCTACGCGCCTTGCCTCCGCGTCCCGCCTTGCCTTTGCGGCGTGGTGGGAGAGTTGGCGGTGTCGCGCTTGTAGCCCGTGGTGGCGGTTTGTGAAGTGCAGATAGGTAGCTCCGACGCCTGTACTTTGTACTGGTCGTCGGTTGCGTACCGTATCAATATTTCGTCATGGAAAGTGAAACAAAACAAAATTAAAAATTTAGATATTTCAAAATTTTTCAAAAGGCCAGCTGCATCGATATCAACTGAAAACAGTGATACTCAAACAAAAAAATTGCGGCCAGAAGGTAAGTATAAATTACATTTAGGTATTAAAAGGCTGTACATTTAAGTATTTAATGTCTGGTAGCTATAGTGAGAATTTGGATGCACTCTCAAATGATCCTAGTAGCTTTTTTATGCTGCCTAGTCTTCCGCAAGAAATGATTGAATTTCTCATAAAGAAAGGTCCAATGCAACCTACTCAATCTGACTTACCACAGAATCAGTCATTTCCTAAGGATAAATATGGTCGAAGTTTTCAATCAGCCTGGTACTGGAAAAGCCTACCTGGGAAGTGGGAACATTCAAGTACAAAGAGATTAGTTATTCTATTCTATAAAAGATGATGGCGCATTTTGCTTACATTGCATAATATTTGGTAGAAATTCAAAACAATCTTGGACTAAAATTAGATTTAAGACATGGTTCAGAGCAATACATAGTATCCTACATCATGAATGTTCAAATGGTCATATAGAAGCTTCACTAAAATTCAAACTAAGGAAAAGTTCATTGCCAGTATTATTATATTCCTCTACTTCGAGAAAAAGTCAATCAAGAAAAAGCTACTAATAGGGAAATTGTAAGGTGTTTAATCGATGTCGCACTTTTTTATCAGAAAATAACCTTGCGTTTCGTGGTCATCGGGAAAGCTTTAAAAAGATAACCACAGACCAAGGAAATTTTATAAATCTAGTTCGAGTAATATCAAAATATTCTCCTTGTTTATCTTCTTAAATTCAAAAATTACAGACTTCAACCAAGAAACTAGAAATTAATTATTTATCAAAATTGAGACAAAATCAGTTAATCTCATCAATTGCGCAAAACATAAAACATGTAATACAAAAAGACCTTAATAAATCCAAATTTTTTAGTATTTCCGTAGACTCAACATTTGACCTTTCTCGAAGAGAACAAATTTCTTTTGTCATTAGGTACATAGACAATAATGGTGATATTTTAGAACGACTTTTAGCATTAAAATATTCTGAAATCACAACAGGAGCACAATTATTTATCATATTTGAAGAAGTATGTTCTAAATTAAGTGTAGATTGGACTACATTTTTGGTAGGACAGTCATATGATGGAGCCCAGAATATGAGAGGAGAAACAAATGGCTTACAAAATTTAGTAAAAAGTAAATATCCAACAGCTACATTTATTTGGTGTTCGGCGCATCGGCTTAATTTGGTTGTGGGTAAAGCTGTCAGTTGTAATAATGATGCCATTGACTTGTTTGGCAATCTTGAACTGGTTTACAATTTTATAACTGGTAACAAAAAGAGAGTTGCGGTTTACGAAGATTTTCAACTCAAATATTCAAATACGGGACAAAAATGAAGACTGAAACGTGTATCTACAACTAGATGGATGTCACAAGATTATGCTTTGCAGGCTGTGTTAGAGACTTTTGATTCTGTAATTTATACACTTGAATAAACTAAAGACACTGAAGGTAGAAAGGATCACGGTTTTGGCCATTTAGCTGGTTGTTTATTAAATTACCTGCTCTCCAAAAGATTTATTATAACAGTGTAACGTATGTTACATCATTACATTTATTTTATAAGCATCATAATATGCACATTAGGCATATTATGGGCTGACTATAATAATATATTAAGCCCCTCCGGTTTAGGTGAAACATATATATTTTATGATTGTAAGGCTCCGGCCAATATCCCTATGTAAGAGAATGGCAGTTCTCCGCGAGTCCATCACGTGCACCTGAACTCCGTACAATCCTACATTTTTGGTAACTTTGTTCGTAAATTGTAAGTTATAATAAATAATTTGTTTGTATTAATAATAATTTAGATCAATCGTTATTTATTTGTAATATTAAGATCCTAATACCATTCGTAGTCCCGACTCCCGAGCTACGGTAAAAATATATTCAAAAGAATTAATTTCTTCCCTGAATATCTTATATTTAACGGGTCATCCGCTCATCCCCGACCACGTTACAATAGCAATAAGTTTTAAAACAATATTTGATGTCTTGTCACCGTTGAATACCTTGTTACAGTCTTCCGATTTGAATCTTTTTGCAGCCGTACACAGTATTTCAAATTCACAATCAAAAATAAATAATCTTCGACAAAATGATGGAGTATTTGAATCTTTAATGACCAAGGTTAATGACTTCATTGCCAATAAAGAAGAATTTATTTTTTCAGAAATACAAGAAAAACGTATCCGTAGAAAAAAGAAAATGTCAGGTGAAAAATCAAATGATTGCCCCATAGTTTGTCCTATAGAAAAATTTAAAATTGAAACATTTTTTAAGTGTTTAGATGTTATAATAAATAATTTAAGTGAATATTTTAACACTGAGATGCTGGGAATCTATAAAGATATGTCATTGCTTACAAAAAAAGGATAAATGAAGTTGAAGCCAATCCAGATTCTTTACCTGAAGATAGCTTTCTACTTTTCTGTAATATTTATTCCAGTTTTTTTGAATCAAGATGATTTAAAAAAAGAGTTCTTACAATTTTGCAATATTTATAGTTCATTTGAAGAAACTATTGAATTACCAATTTATATTCACACCAAAATGAATAGCAGTTTGATATCAGAATTTGAAGAAAAAGAGGACGAAGAAGAAGAAGAAGAAGAAGAAGAAGAAGTAGAAGAAATACAAAACCACGAGAAAGAAGAATTGTTTCCGTCACGAAAAAAGGTTACAAATGTTGTTAGCATAAAGACTGTATATAAAATATTCAAGTCAATCAATTAGCTACTATATTTCCTTTGTTAGATACGACTTTAAAAATTATTTTGACCTTACCAGTTGCAAGCGCATCAACAGAACGCAGCTTTTCCAAACTTAAAATAAACAAAAATAGACTCCGGACCACAATTTCACAAGATAGGTTAGAAGATTTGATGATTATAAGTTGCGAGAAGGAAATTTCAAAAAGTATAAACCATGAAGAAATATTGAAAATTTTTCTGAAAAAAGTAGTATTTTAAGTAAACACTTAATTTAAATTGTAATTCTTTGTTGTATTTAAATTTTTAAAGTGAATAAGTTTTGTTTTGTTATGTTTATGAATAAACAAAGATTTTATAAAATTAATATTAAAAAGGACTTAGTAAGTACTAAGTACACTTAGCACTAATATAAGCGACTTAAATAAATAAAATTTTTAACAAATATAGTTTTTTTTTTTTTTTTTTTTGTAGCTTGAATAGGTTAAGAGCAAAATTTAACCATGTTTTATAATATTAAAAGCGGCGCGCTATAATACTATATATAGGCTGCACGTAGGCGGCGGGCCTCATATGTGTCCACTAGAAAACGCAATATTTACGTTTTTATATATATTAACATATTACAAATAAACATTATTATTGATATACGCTATATTATAAATAATTTAAATATTATATAATCATATAATATATACACCATGTATTATATTATATTTTAGTACAATATAAATATTAGGTATTTTATAACAGTATTATATAGGAAAGTATATTGAATAATTTACAGAACTAATACAACATTTTAATTTAAGTTGTTTTATTTACATTTTTTTTTTTCAATTAATATTATTATTATAATTCATTATACACATAATACAACATTCATTTTTTGCGTTTGGATGATGGACCATATACTATTTCATCCTCTTCCTCATTAGAATTATTGTCGGACTCTTCTTCAATAATTTGCTGTTCACAATTTAAGCATGAAAGGCCAGAACATGTTTTGCACGCAGTAGAACACTTTAATCCTTGTTTTCTGCAGCCGCATGCGGCTCCACAATTTTTTGTACACGCACATGTAATTTTTTCTAAAATACATTTTGGCGCTGGTTCATTCCATGAAAATATTGGTTGCAGTCCATTCCTGGTTGTTTGCCATCCCCAATCTTTTGCATTTCTTTCTTCTCCATGCCACATTTGAACCTGGTGATATGTTCGATATATATGCTGTTTTAAAGCCTCTTTGGGGGTAAGCTTGCTAATTTGAATTTATTTTCAGCCGTTTTTCGGGTGAATAATAAATATCGATATTCATCTATATTTGTTTGACTTTGTGGTGCACCATATAATTTTAATGTGTATCTTTCCCCGGCTTTAAAAATGTTTTCAGGTGTGGAGTTTGGGCCGTTAAATACATTTACTATTCCTGGAAGTTCTGGATATTGGTTGAAAAGTTTGAAACGTTTTAATTTTCCAATATTATAGAAGCATGAAACAGTATCGCATCCACTTATAGCATGTAAAAATAAAATTGACATTTTTATGCCATTAACCTTTTGGATATCTTGAATTAAATATATTTTTTTTTCATTTCCTCCATTTCCTGGTTTTAAAAATATGATCTGATTTTCTACCGGTGTAAGAGCTATTAATAAAACCAGTAAATCGATATCTTGACCAACTACAACAACAAATTGACTTTGTGCCCTCTTTATAGCTTCATTTACAATTACAGTGTCGGCATCGTCATTGGCTTGTTTAATAATGTAACCTTTACCTATCAAATATGAAGACAACATTTGTATCAATCTACTTTTGTTTCTTATATTTGATAAGAATGATGTTTGTGCAACAGTTAGAACCATATTTGTATCAAATAAAATATTTTTTACACACCGATTACGTTCCATATTTTTTGTACTTGTCGAGCTTTCATTGTAGCCGTCAAAAACTATAACTGCATTGGTCCCAAAATGTTTTCTTACAAACCGTTTGTTTTATTTGTGACAACGAATTAACTGTCAATGATTTTGTTGTTATAAAAAAAAAAGGTATAATATCTCTCATAAACGCGAGTGTTTTGCGTAATGATGAAAAAGATAGTGTTTTGCGAGGACTCGATTCTATTAAAGTACACACTAATTGTCGTAAACAATACTCGAGAATTGATCGTATAAAACCGGATGAGATTACTAATAATAGTGATGTCCCGATTAAATCGCCTATAAAGGCACAGTTGAGCTCTGCTCGTCCTGTATTTAATTTCAAATTAACGTGTGTTTTTTGTGCGGAAAATATTGATGACGATTTTTAAAAAATGAAAATAAAAACCCGCAAATAAACGTCATAAAGTATTTAATGTTCGAAGTCTTACTTTGCGTGGCAGTATACTACAAATGGAGTTAAATAGAGATGACGAGTTTGGTAAAATAGTTTGGAAAAGGATTATTGGTGAACCTGATCTCGTAGCTGCCGAGGCAATTTACCACCATGACTGTTATGTGAAGTTTACTCGAATTCCTTACATTTCAACACAAAAAATAGGACGACCCAAGGTAAGCAATATATTAGAATCCATGGATATAATTTTTAAATATATTAAAGAGAGCGAGGAATGTAAATTTTCAATAAATCTTATTGAAGAACTTTATGGCTATAAACCCGATAAAAAAAACAGTGAGTAAAAAGTTGATGGAAAAATATGGCAGTGATATTATCATTAGTAGCGGAATAGGTACAACGTTTTGTTTCAAATCGGTCGGTAATCGGATATTTAATGAAAATTGGTATTCAAATAGAAGTAGTAACGTTGAGGAAGAACGATTAAGAATAATATACACAGCAGCAGAGATAATTAGAGAGGATATAAGGTCACAGGTACAGGATCTTACTTCGTATGATTCTTGTTTTGATTTTTTAAAAAATGTTGATACGGTTGTACCAAATACTCTGAAAGTATTTTTAGACGAAGTTATCATTACTAAAAAAAAAAAAAGAACTGAATTGACAAGAAAAAGTACTGCAATAGCTCGATCAATTATGGCTGCAACAAGACCAAAATCATTCATATCACCGTTGCAATTAGGCCTTTCAGTCATGTTACATATAAAATTTGAATCTAAAAATATTATTAATATTTTGTGCAATCTTGGTTTTTGCGCATCCTATCGCAAAACATTTTTATTCGAAGCATCTTCGTTGTATCATCCAGCTCCAGATATTTTACCGAATTCTTTTCCCAATTTATTTTTAACAACGCCGATTTTAATATTAATACTTCGGATGGTTTAAATACTTTTCATAGCATGGGCGGTATACAATGTGTGACACCTTGTAGTTCAGTTTGTCCAGTAGATAAAATAAATCGACTGAAAATAATTCCCCCGTCACAAAATATAGGAAATTTACGAAAAATAAATATAAAAATATTTGAACCAGCTGAAAGGTAGTATTAAAAACCTTATATTTGACAATTTAAATAATTTTGGTGTAGATGAACAAATTGAATTATCTTTGCCTCATTTGCTGTGGATATTAGGAAAGTTTATCAACAATCCTTCCGTCCCAGGATGGACTGCATTTATAGCGAAAATAACACAGAATAAACCATTTTCACAATCAAGAATAGTTCCACTTCCATTTGTAAATTTACCACCAAGCAATTACGACACTATAAATACTGTCTTACATTTCGCATCAAAAAAATGTTCGACATTGGACCAAAATACCTGTGTCATAACTTTTGACCAGCCCCTCTATATCAAAGCCCGTGATATAGGAGCAAAAAGTCCAAATTGATCAAATGTCATTGTTCGGTTGGGAGGTTTTCATTTACTTATGTCGTTCTTGGGCGCGGTTGAATATATAATGGCAGGAAGTGGTTTAAAGGAAATTTTTAGTACGATTTATGCACCGATAACTGCAGACAAAATGCTTACTGGTCATGCATACTCCAGAGCTGTAAGAGGACATACGTTGGTCTATTTGGCGTTATCAAATATTATTTTACAGTCATTTACAATCAGTGATGAAATGAAAAAACAATTAAACGATTTATTTTTAAATTCCAATCATAATCCAATTGAATTTGACCAGATCTATAATGAAAATGTAATAATACAATTAATTAAACAATTTAAAAATCAATTAGATGTATTAAAAAAGAATGGCGCTACTTCTAAACTTTGGTTGCAATAACGGCTGAAAGAATGGGCAATTGGAAATTACATCTTCAATGTGTTGAAAAAATGATCCCATATTTCCATGCTAGTGGACACTTTCCATATGCAAAATCGTGTCATTTGTATCCAAATGATATGGCCAATATACAGTATAAAATGACAGCTGATGAACAGTTACGGGTTATAAATGAAAGTGATTTTACTATAAGGCGTACAAATCAATTTTGGTCAGGTAATTGGTCGGATATGACCATTGAACAAACTTTAATGCGTTCAATGAAAACTATTGGCGGTCTCACACATGGCCGAGGTATCACCGATAGCACTTTGAATAAGTGGATACAAGGCTTACCAGCTGCACACGATGTTTGTGAAAATTTAGAAAAATATTGTGGTGTTTATATGGAAAATTCAGAACAACATGTTGACGCCAGGTTATCACGAATATCTAGAGATACTAACGATTTAAATATATTACTTAAATGGTGTTCGTCGCATCCCCCTTGTTTAGAACTAAATGAAATAATTTCAATATCAACTGGTGTAGTAGGAGATACAACTATTAACTGTCATAACGCTTATGAAATCGGGTTAATTGAGATGAAAAAAATTATAGGACAAACATATGGGACAGTTAAACTTAAGAGAAGCAGCAGAGTGTTACCTATAGCTATTGTAAATTCTTCAATTAGAATAAGAGAAGAAATAAATCTATAGACCCACTATTAATTTTTCAAAAAATTTCTATAATGAAAACATCCAATGAAGAACTCAAAAGTTATTTTGAATATGAGTTATACCCACTTTCATTATTGAACGAAATGGGCATTTGTCGCTCAACAATAAAATGGTTATTAATAACTAATAAGTAATAACAATTAGCAGTGTTATCGGGAAAGGACACAACAGTAGGGTCAACTGAACAGCCACATACACAACTCCCACAATATAATTATATAAAATAAAATTCAATGTAGGTACAACCAACATGCTATAAAAAAATATTTATATTTTAGTAAAATATAATACGCGGTGTATATATTATATGATTATATAATATTTAAATTATTTATAATATAGCGTATATCAATAATAATGTTTATTTGTAATATGTTAATATATATAAAAAAACGTAAATATTGCGTTTTCTAGTGGACACAAATGCGGCGCACTATAAATTATAATATAGTATTATTGCGCGCCGCATTTAATATTATAAGACATGGTTAAATTTTGCTCTTAACCTATTCAAGATAAAAAAAAAATAATGAAACCTTATTTATTTAAAATTTTATCAGCTACATTTTTGTATTGAGGTATTTTTGATATAAAATAAGTATTTTTAAAGATAATTTAAAAAAACTGAAAAGTCGCACTTAAAATCCAAGATGGCGGACACTTCCGGACCTCGGAGGAATGGCGACTTTTTTTTGGTTAATCAGGAGCCTATAACCAAACTTTTTGCAAAGTTTCAAAACTTTCCTATTTAATTCCTTAAAACACCAATTTTGGAGCTTAAATGACTGGACTAGTAAGGCAGTTGGAACAACAAAACTCTGTATGCCCAATGTGTAGAGCAGAAATTGTAATTTTTCAGCGGGTGTTTTTTTCTTAAATATTTTATTTTAATCCTTTTAAAAATTAAATAAATAAATGATAATTTATAATTAAAACTGAAATTGACTAATTATTATAAAAAGCTCTGAAGAAGCTTATCTCCAGAAAATAATACAAAAATAGTTTGTCCATTATTTAATATATTTTTCAGCTTTCCTAATTTATCTAAGAATTAGGTAACGGTTTAGTATTTCACTATACCAATACAGTGTTGTTACTGTTTAGTTAAAAACCACTTTATTTAATTTCTAAACATATTTTTAAATTTATTTCACATGTTTTTACCCAACTTCAATTTTATAAAATAGATTTGTACAGTCTATAGTCATAGGTACGCTTTACTTGTAGAATAGTTTCACACTGGATACAACAAGGGAGTTACAGTTAATATAATTGTTATTCAATAAATGTATTAAATTACACCAAATATCTATTTAATTAAATGTTTTATTTATTTTAGACAAACAAACCATGTTTAGTAATCAAAGGTGAGAAATTTATCAATAGAGTAATGTGGCTGGACAGTGATGTACTGAGGTGATATGATTTTTTAATCTTTCAGTCGAGTGAATATTTAAACATAAATTCAATAAGCCAGCGAAATTTTTTTCTAACATTTTTTTTAGCATATTATTGAAAATGTAAATTCATTTTTTAATTTACATTTTAACCATTTTTTATTTTTTCGTATCTATTAATAAAAAAATTTCAATCACTTAGAGTTCAATTATAGTAAAAAATATGAACTTTACAAAATACACAATTTGTTTGTTAGTTTTTTTCAAATGTTTTATTTTTAATATCTATTTATTGGATTTTATAATTTGTAATATAGTTTTATAAAATAGTAAGTTTTTGTATACCAGGTGTTAAAAATAGATGAAGTGAATTGTTGTGATAGAGACATATCTATCTATATTTATACCAACAAAATGGTTTTATTTATTGAGGATAAGCCAAATTATGGAGTAATCACAACCAATCAATTTGGAATTAAAGAAAAAAAACATGCAAATGCTATATTCCCAGCCCTACTTATGAATAAATATAATAATTATACCTTAAAATGTAAACAGTGGATGATGACTGATGTAAATGAAAGTAATTTTATAACACCTAAAATAATTTGTTTCAAGCATCATTGACCCACTCTGCCAGAATGGGCTGCGCACGCCTATGTGTAACAGTAAACAATTACAAAACCCCGGGTGGTCAATCAATACCTGACTGTAACTTTGTAAGATAAATAATTGTTGTTGTGATGTATCTGTATAATTGTTCGAGATGTATGATAACCGATAAGTAATACATTATAGGCATTTTAAGGGCGTATGTAATTTGCGCCAAAAACAACCCAAAAAAAAAAAATATATGTCATTTGCGCCACATCTAAAAATTTATTTTGGTAATTTGCTCCACTATTAAAGTTTGTTGTAATTTGCACCAAATAAAACTAAATAAAAAGGCGATATGTAATCTGCGCCATCGTGTACCTAAAAAATTGTGATTTGCGCCATTTTTCACCTTATTAAAATTGTATTTTGCGCCACTAATACTAAATAGTCGTATTTATAAATCAGTCATATTATAATTATAAATAAATGTATACAAGTACAGTCGTTGCCAGATAAATTGAGCAGGCGGCGGCGGCGCGATAACGGAAAACCAGTGGTTCTCCGTATTTCAATATTATTAGTTATTACCGAAAATACATCAATAAACCAACAATTGTTACAAAAAATATTTTACGATATTAATTTAAAATTGTTTGCACTGAGCCGGGTTCGAACTGGTGAATGCGCGCGTCGTAGCCAACTGTGTGACCTATGCACCACACTGCCAGCAACTAGTTTGGGCTACACTTACTGAAAAGCGCCGCCGCCGCCTGCTCAATTTATCTGGCAACGACTGTAAAACAAACTCCATATTCTATATTAAATAAGTACATTTTCGTTTAGTAATAAAACATAATATAAAAATCAGTCATATTATAAATAAATAAAACATATAATTTTTGAAATAAATTACCTAGCTACTTATAAAAATCCGTCATATTATAATTATAAATAAATAAAACATATAATTTTTGAAATAAAATACCTAGCTTCTTATAAAAATCAGTCATATTATAATTATAAATAAATAAAACATAATTTTTGAAATAAAATACCTAGCTACTTATAAAAATTTGTTATATTATAATTATAAATAAATAAAACATATAATTTTTGAAATAAAATACCTAGCTTTCTACTAAAGCTTACTCAGCTTTTTTTATACTTATAGCTTAAAGACGAAACTAAGCCTTTTCTGTCAATTTTATTTTGTCTGTAGTCTTCAAATATTTTTTGAAAAGTTTCCAAACGATTTTTGTTGATAGTAGATTTTCGCTTTTTAAGATGTATACTTTTAATTTTAATCAAAGTTTCTGTTTGAAATCCTTTCAGTACGTCCAAAAAGTGATAAATAGTAGGATGTGGGTGATAGAACTCGGAATTGAAACGTGAATGATAGGATTCGCAAGCATTAGTAGTGAGAGCTAGTGACGCAATATTCGAAGCCCAAATTATTGGTGGAAATTTAGCCTCTTCACAGATATAAGTGTCAACTAAATAGTCAGCATATTTTTGAAATCTTATGTCATTAGGAATCGATGACATAAAATCTTCGATAAAACAGTCACTGACCTCATTTGGAGAAATAAATGGCAACCCAAATGTATGGTTTAGCCACTTACTTTCTTCTGTTTTATTACACAGTTAGAAATCTGTAGTTGTTTTAACACTTTACTGAATTTGTCAATCAGCTAAATTGTAAATTATATACTTTGGAGTGTTAAAATAACAACAATGTATGTAGAATGAAATACACATGGTTTAACACCATACGTTTACTCAATTCAGCAATCAATATAGGAGTTAAATTAACAATGAATAGTTGAATATTACATTATCCACTATTTTATAGTTAAAATAACATCAGTTTATTGTTGAATTAAATACATTATTTATTTCTACATTATAGTATATGTGCGATTAAAAATAGTAAATTTTCAATCTACCACCAGAATTCAAATGTAATTCATTCTCTCCAGTTTGGTTGGAATATAAAGGTTTGATGTATAAAAAAGATATGCTATTAGTTTTAGAAATAAATTCTGCTGCTGGAGGCTGTTTATTTGGGGAAATCTATAAAATGTTGGTCAATGAAACCAGAGTTCCTTATTTTATAATAAAGCCAATGTTGACTGTTGGTTTTGATGAACATTTTTGTGCCTATGAAATAAAAAATAATTCAAACTCAAAACTGATTGGGTGTTATATGCATGAATTACCTGATACAACGCCAACTATTGCCAGAGTTCTAGGCAATGGTAAACTTTATGCCTCATTGAGGTCAGGTGCATAAAAAGCTTTTAAATAATAGTATATTTAATATTCTTATTTTTTTTTTTTTTTTTGGTTATTCTACAATAGTTGTATACTTATTACCTACCCTATAATATTATGTTTGTATATTTTAAGTAAATAAATGTAGGTAGGTACCTACCATGTATTTTAAAACATGTGAAATCAAATATATTACTATTGGCAAAGTAGGTAATGTATGAAAACATTAATTGTATACAATATTATTATTTTAAAATATATAAAGTATGTAAATAAAGTCAAGAACTTTGCATTTTATTCCATAAAAATCAAATTAAGATATATTTTTCTATATATTATGCGACATTTATATACCCCCTTAAAATATGTTGACTATATCAATGTAGGTGATAGTCTAGAGGTTAAGGCGGTAGGTAGGTCGTTCATAATATCCCGTAGGTAGTGAGATCGAATCCCGGCTAGGGCAGATGGAATTTGGCACGCTCCGAAATATTTTTTTTTGCTTGTCTAACATTTTTTAACATTACATTAAGTAGTTTTAAGAATACCATTAGTTAATTCAACATCTTTACAAACTTTTACAAAATATCAGCAACTTAAGTTGAGATAACAATAACCAATATTCAACCTACCCTCAAATAAAAGTTAATTTAAAACTGCTGTAATGTTGTACTAAATATAGTAAATATCATATCTACATAATTGTATTTGTTAAGATATACAAAGTTTGTAGTTGTCTTAATATCAACTGAAGTTGTATTAACCACTAATCACTACGAGGCATGAGTCTTACTATAGCAACGAGTAGTAGTTATTTTAACTATCGCTTAATGTGAATTTAACACCAAGCTCCTCCCAGCTCAAAATCAACACACAACTGTGTATGACATTGACACCAATGAGTGTTGAATCAACGACAGATTTCTAACTGTGTATTTTGATATATATTGGATAGGCCTAATTCCTGAATTTTTCTATACCACGATTGAGTTAGGTGAAATCTACAACCGAATATTTTAGTGTCATCCCAGACTTGTCTCAATGCTACATGAATTGCTTCTTCAAAATCAGATATAAATAAATTTGGTTTTAGAGAAAGTTCACATTGCATTACACAAATTTATGATATTTTTAAATAAATGTATGTAAGTTGAAGTTTTTTTGTCTGGAAGTAATGCAAATAAAAGTGGTATTTAATGATCATTGCATGCATAAACCATGCAAAGAAAACAATTTCGTAAATAACTTGGGGCAATATTCAAAAGTTCCATCCATGTATATAATCTCAGATTGGCATAGAACTTTTAAATTTGTGTCACATGAAAATATTATTATATGACAGTTCGGATCATTGGTTAATAGAAATTGCTCATTGAGGTCCGTTCTCAAATCCAAATTGCTTATACTCTTTTGAAACTCTTCCATTGTTTTTGGTAATGGTGGCACTATCTTTCTACGGGCGTTATAAATATTTCGTCGAACTAGTGATACATCATCGGTAGTGATGGATTGTAAATTAGATATATTTTTAGAAATTTCAGTTCGTAATATCTTACTTGGTTTAGTATACAGATTTTCCATAGCTTTTCTCTTACATCCATTTGAATATATTTTTCTGTCTATACTTGGTTGATCATGCCCGTGTAGTAACCCGTCGCTCTCACTTGATTGGTTACTGCACACTTCTTTAACGACGAATGCACGTACACGTCGTCGCAATGAATCGGAGGATGGTGGTTGAAGTGAAGGTAGAGTAAGAAGTTTGACACAAAATGTAGTTAATTATTGATATATGTTTATTAACACGAAACTAATAATATAGTTAATTTTAAGTAAGTTGAAATTTGTCGACAGAATAATAATTCTACCGGAGAATAGTTGTAATTTAAATTATACTTGATGTGGACGGCGATGCGGCTGTTTCTAGTCCGCGACCCACACAAGTATTGTAAAGCACTGGTAATTACTTCTATGTCTAAAAAGTCTGTGAAACAGGGCCCCTATTTATATGAGACATGCCCGGGATTTAGGAAAGGATGATTGACGTCATAGGAATGGCGTGATGCGTAGTCGATCAGTATTAACCAATGAGGCGGCAGCCTCAGTGGCCTATTTTGGTGGCGTGATGTTGTTCAGGCCACCTAACCTTTGGAACGCCGTTTTTGTGCAAAAACGTCGGTTTACTACACCGTTATGTTCATTTACAATTTCAACTATTTGTACAATATTTTCTAAAGAAGTATACACTTTTGCAGTGCAAGTTCTAACAGTACAACGCCATCGTATTGAAGAATTTTTCGATTCATGAACTTTTCGATACGTAAAATTTGCAAATAATAACAAATCTTTGTCTCTTGTGCTTTTAATTATTTCACCAGTATTTGCATTATTTTCCATTTCTTATACTTTTATATGATTTTGAAATGTGAAAATAACATGAACGCACACGCGATTTATATCGGACTAACTGTTAATATCAGGCGATTCGCGACATTGCTGTTCAATATTGTTCGATGACTTACTTAACAATACATTGATAATTTTCATTAGATTAGACGTAATCGGAGATCGATTACGTCTAATAGAGACGAGTTGTCTCTATATTATCCGCGGTAGAATACTACAATATTATATTATATTATTTGTACGTATTATTGTATGTCTAATGCGTTATCAATAAATTTAGGTATCTGCTGGTATATTCCAGCAATTCAAGTTAAAAGTGTGGCGCAAATTACATAGCCCATTTCGTTTTCTGTCGTGGCGCAAATTACCAAAATTAATTTGTATATGTGGTGCAAAATACATTTTATATTTTTATATTTTGGCGCAAATTACATACGCACTTAAATGTACCTATCCGTGGCGCAAATTACAAGTAATAAAATTGGCGCAAAATACCATCTCCCCATTTTAATATTAAACAGAACATACATGATTTGAGACATTTCAATTAGGAAGGTTTGAATGAGATCGTCGTAACTTGTAGATAGCATATTAGGTTTTACTTGGTTTTAATACTTTGTAGAAATATTTTATCTAGAAATAATTACACATTTACACTGTAGTTTAAAATAAAATCTACATAATACACATTAGTCAAGCAGGTTAGTAGAAAAAAACTATGTATGACTTACGAAAATCACATCAAAAGTAAACTGTTTAGATTTGTGATTTGTATACTGCACAATGACAGGTACCTACCTGGACACTGGCTACTGAACATATTAATTAATTATATAAAACCTACTTAAAGAGTAAAAAAAGTAAAATATTTAATAAATTCCATGATAATATTATAACAACATGTACCTATCATGATTCATGATAAATTCAACAAAAAACTTTACAATTTAAATCATCAAAATATTAACGTATAATATTATCATATTATTTACGTAAGAATCGAACATAACCTTAATATTGTTTGCATTTCAAGTGGTAACCATCTAAAACCTGAACCGTGGTGATAGCGATTAATGATTCATAATCATAATTTATAATCTATGATTATTGATTTTTGTATGATATTTTTGTTTCTTTTATGGTTTTTTGAAACTATCTATTTAGTTACTAAAAAAATCGTTAAGCTAATCATTTAAATAGAATCTCCATAAAATTCTCTATCAATAAACTTTAGATTTCATCATTTCTCGTTCTCCTATGTGGGATTAATCTCATCCACAAACAGACGACCACAATAGTTCTGAATAGAGTAGGTACATACCTTATATTATAATAATATACATATGCCATTCACTGTATACTAATTGAGTCCCTATACCTGAACGGGAAAAAAATAATATACTAATTGAGTCCCGGGTACAAACGAAACATATACTAATTGAGTCTGGGGTTAGGAAACTAATTGTATACGAATTGAGTCCGAGGATTATTTTGAGTAAAATATAAAATAACCATCCAGAGTCTAGACACAGCAAAAATTATGCCACACAGCCGTGCCGCGCGTCAAAAGCAGCTCCACACGGATATACCTATATATATTATATATGTTACAGGAAATGTTGAAATTTAGGAAATGATGACAATTCCTAGTAAATGTTGACAATTCCTAAAATCGGAAGGAAATGATATCATCACCTAGTATATGTTATCATTTCCTAACGATAGTAGGCAAAGATGCCACATTTTTTAAATTTAATCTGACTTATTTAAATATTACTTTTATCAAACATAATTATTAATTAATCTACTATCAGCTTAATAAATAATCAATAAATAAACAAGTATTTTTTAACATTTTAATTTATGTAATTTAAGCTTTTTAAAATTTTGCATATCAATTAGATCTATTTGTGCACGGGAGTTGTATGCTGAATGCAAAATTGGTTTAGAAACAAAACCTTTTTTTGGATTAGATGATTTTTTATGACATTCGGTACAAAGACTCAAAAAAATCATGTGTGAAGAATATTGAATAGGTACCTCTTAATTTTTAACGAAATAATGTATACTGTCATTATCATGGTTCATGGCTTTAATTGGACGCACCGTAGCTCCACATGAATAAAAATATTTTGTGAATCCGTAACTCCGCATGCACCGTATCTCCGCACGGTCGAAAAAACGAACGCACCGTTACTCCGCATTCTAAAAATATTTCAAACACCAAAAGTCCACATGTCATAAAACTGATAAAATATAAAATTGATAACATATTATTATAGGTAATAAGTAATAACTAATAACCAATATATTTATTTCCCCTAGTATCCAACGTTTACGGGACGAATTCAGTTCTCTGATCTCGGAGTGTTTGCTTAAAATATAATTGCTAATTGTTAATTTATTTATTAGCTTAAATTATCAATTATATATTTATTATTATATTATATATTTAATTAAGTTTTATTTAAATTTTAAATATGATGGCAAGTGAACGTGAAATAAGTGTTGTATACAGTCAACGGGGAAATGTGCTATTAGTAAAAAGTAACTACAAATATTCTAAGTATACAGAATTAATATCCGGGGAAATTGGATGGAAATGCATACAAA